AAGTTGGATCGATATGTTCCACCTGCTTTCCTGCCGGAGCATTCGAAGGACGGACTACCAACATGCGCAGCGTGCCACAAGCACTTTGCCCTTTGGAAAGGACTGAAGGACCACTTTCTCTCCGGAGCCTGCAAAGAGCCGGAGGCCTTAAGAAGAATAGATGCCCAGCACTCCGAACTGCTAGACGAGTCAGTGCATCCCTGGTCACGCGAACACTTGACCAGCACAGCTGGCACGCACACTGCCACGCAACTTGCTCGACAGCCAGCTTCCAAGCACTTTGTGGACCATTGTGTGCTATGTGGATTCTGGACACCTGATCATACCAAGGTCAAATCGCACCTGCATCAGGAGCATCGCAGGATCTGGTATGCCCTGCAAGAGAGCACCACGCTACAGTGCCAGAAGCTCGGGACCGAAATCCTCAAAGGCAGACCATGCCCCTTCTGCAATAAGAATGTTACCGATAGGCGTAAGCGCCCGGCGCAATGTGGAGTACTCTTTCAAATCCTTCTAGGCGATTCCGTGTTGCAGATATCTAGGACCGCCACGGGACCACTACAGAGATTCTTCAAAGTAGTTAACTCCCCAGAGCTACCAGCAGCCAAGCCTAAACCTCTGCAGCGTGTGCTTGCCACGCAGGAAGCGATCCAAGGAGATGCTCCCCAAGATTCGAGCTTTTCCCACTCCTCTTCTCAGGTTGCCGCCCTTGCGCTCAAGAACACCTCCAACTACTGCTATGTCAATGCAGCTATGCAGGCTATGCTAGCCACTACCACTATGGAGCCATCATTGCGATCACTCCAACCACTCTTGAGCCTCATTTCGAGTTCGACACAGTCCAGCACTGCTTCCCCCCTCAATCTCATTAACTCATTCCCGCTTCGAAGCCTGCTGCCAAGATGGAGATTCGATGGCACGCAGCAAGACTCGGCAGAATTCCTGCAGAGCTTCCTGGCAGCTGCTTCTGAGCTCCCTCTCACGCGTAGGTGGGCAACAGTTGATCTGGCCACAGGGAGTTTGGCGGTGGAGGGAGGTCCCCTCATCATGCTCATGCAACACTCGGCCAGCAGGCCACTGCAATCTTTAATAGACGAGTGGTCTTCGGTGCCCCCAAACACAACTTTGCTGGGGCAGCAGAAGCACGCAATCTTCACAGTGGCAAGATTTACAGGTTCGGGTAAGAATCACTTCCCTATCACTGCGTACAGTCAAGAGCTCCAGGTACCCGTACTGTATGAGGGCTCCATACGCAACGAAAGGGCGTACGTGCAGTCCTGTGTCTTTCACATTGGCTCTACCCCGTACAGCGGCCATTACCGCACTATCTGGAGGTCAACGTCGGAGTGGCAGTCGACCGATGACCACCGGCGATCACTGAAGGCAACGGACTCAGATCAAAGACAAGTCCGCCATGGTTCATACATCTTCTTTTTGACATTCCCTGAAGCATCACGTGACGATGCAGTGATCCTCTGAGCATCACTAGTCGCAACTGGCCAGCGCTGCGACCAGTACTGCAGCACAGCTGCCGCCCCCCCCCCCACTGTCAGCGCTCGATAACCGCTCACCGCCGATTGCCGAATCAAAGACAGCTTCTTTGTGAGCTTTAGGTAGGTTTTGGAGTTTGGGGGTTTGGGGTTTTGGTTTTGGGGTTTTGGGTTTTGGGTTTTTAGGGTTTAGGGGTACAGGCCCAAGGTCCCAATCCAGCAGCCAGGCTGGCAGGACTCCCATGTGCACATGTGCAAGATGCCCAGGTCCAAGGTCTCAATCCAGCAGCCAGGCTGGCAGGACTCCCAGGTCAGGTGCACAGGCGCAAGGTGCCCAGGTCTAAGGTCCCAATCAAGCAGCTATGCCAGCAGGACTGCCAGGTGCGCAGGCGCAAAGCGCTCAGGTCCAAAGACGCTTCGGGTTTTTGGTTCCCGTGTGTTTTCCCACAAGTGAATCATGCACCGCTGTTTGCATTAAGCCTAAACAAGCCTTGCACAGCTGAGCATCTCCGGCTCACAGCTGGCCTTGACCTAACCCCTAGGTGGGGCCTTCTGCTTTTCGGTCAAGGCCTTCTACGCTCTTAGTTCTTTCTAGAGCCTCCAGGCCTCGTAATCCTGGAGTTTGTAGCCTGCACGCCCAGCCATGGCCTACCGTGCTAACATGCCCATCCGCACAGAAGTTCGCAGCTCTTCAGATGGCGGACGCTACGATTACGTCCCCTCGTGGGACGATCTGGTCTACTTGCACTTGAACAGACTGGCCCTATTTGCACAACCTGCCCAAGATGACTACGCCACGCCTTGTCCTGGCTACGAACCAGGCCCAGAGGATACCACCCCGCCGGTCCGTTTCAGGACCCGCACGGCGCCCACTACCGCACAGATCAGCACGCCTGAACCAGCGATGCACACTCCCCTTGGAGCCTCTGGTTTGCCTACTACAATGGATGCGCATATGGGCCCTGCCGAGCCCCATCCTGGAGCTACGAGATCTACTCCTCTTGCAGCCTTCAGCTCAGCTTCTGCAATGGATGCACCTCTGGGTCCCGCTGGGCCCCCCTTTGAAGCTAAGCGTGACACTCCTCTTGGAGCCTCCGACTTGCCTTCTACAGCCAATGACTTCATGCCTTCAAAGCCCAACGAGCCTCACGACCTGGTGCACATCAGGTCCCTGCTCGTTTATATGCACAATCACCTGGCCTGCCAAGACGCAATGGGCCGCACTCTGATGCAGGCAGAGGAATCCAGACGCCTGGAGCTGCACGCAGTCTCTGCCCAACTGCAGGAAATACGCACCAGCCTAGCCTTCGTCCAGCAGGCCTACGCCGATCTCAGGCACGAGCTCGACAGCATCGCAGCCGACTTTCTGGCCTATCGCATTCGCACAGAAGCGGAGATGGCAAGCCTTAGGGAAGCCTTGGGGCCCATGCCCTCCCAAATCAATACCCTCAAGCGTATTGCTATACTGCCTTACAATGCACATCTTCAGGCCCTGCGTACCTTTCAGGTCCCGGCAAACAGGTGGGAAGAGGCAAATCCCCATGCCCTGTTGCGTAGAGAGCTTCTACACCTAGAGGACCGCCTTCTTCGCCTGGAAGCTGCCCAGCCCGTCTGGCCCGTGCAATCTGGGGCATGAGCGCCTGTGCGGGTAGACCATGTAGGGCGAACACGTGGGCGTGGGCGCGTTGCAGTGCCGACATATGTAAAGCACACTGTCGGCGGCATGTGCGGTTTTGATAGCGGGAGCAGAAGCTCTGCATAGGCACGGCGAAGAATTGGTGCTGTGCCAATCTGGGGCCAGCGGGCAGCGGGGGCAGCATGGAGCCAGCATTAGACAGCAGGTGCTGTGGCGGCGGAGGCTTAGGCTTAGGCCAGGGTATGGGCGTATTAGGGTCGGCAGGCGGGTTAGGGCTATTAATAGGCTGAGGCAGCGTAGGCGCTGTCGTAGGCTGTCTGACCTGGTGTGGCAGCCTGACCTGTGCAAGAGCGAAGCTGTGTGCGAAAGGCTCTTGCGCTGAGGACGCTGTGGCGTCTGGGCATGTGTCACTGCTGTCCTCGGTGCCACTCCAATCCTGGACATTCCAGGGGCAAGGTTGGAAGGCTGGGCTTTTAGGCTGAGGAGGCATGGGCCCGAAGTGACGCAACAAAGCTAGCCAAGGGGGTCCCTAAAGAAAACGCCAAGAGCCGATAACTGCGTGAAGTATCAGAACCACACACCTCTTTGGCCTCAGCAACATACTGGCTTGCATCTGGGCCCACATTAGCCCACAAGACCGCCGCTCATTCCACGTCATTGACTGGTGGTCTGCCGCCGATGCCCGCTGGTATTTGGCAGGCCTGCCAATGCCTGACTCAGATGACTACTCCGACCAGGGGTCTTCATCGGGCACCAGCACCGCTGCCTCAGTGGGTACCTAGCCTATGCCGGTGCCTTGCGTGAGCACCTCTCTGCCCATCCTTTGCACGTGCCTACCGGGACTCACGCCACCCTGTCGCACTCGACACACACCATTGCCCTGTGAGCCTCACGCTGCCTGGCCTAGTGCCCCCCCCCTCTGTGCTGATTGTCCCTGGACCCGCCCATCCTGCCCCTTGCCTGCAGGTACCTACGCCTTCGAGCTCGGCATCGACTTCATGCACATCAAGGTTGCCGGCTGCCACCTTACTCTGCCTATTTGCACACTGCCCTGAGTTGCTGCCTAGTTAGCGTTCACGCTTCTTCACTGTCAGGCCAATACGCACTTTCTGCATGCCTCTCTCGTTCGACTTCAAGGCCGGCTGTGCTCTTGCAGTCGTTCGTGAGTATTGTTGCCGCATATGCCCTGTTCTCTGCACACTGATATGGCTGCCTACGCGGTCTCTGCACAACCCGCCTCGGGTTCAGGCAACGCACAGCCGAGCCAGACATTGCCTACCAAGGCCCCGCCATCGGTGGTCACTGGCAAAGCCCAGGCCCAAACGCCTGATTCGGGCCCAACGCCTAATCCAGCCTCGGATTCCACAGCCTCGGCTTTGCTCACGGACGAGCTAGCCGCTATGAAGAAGGCCGCTTCCACCCGCCGCGGGCAAAAGGCCAAAGCCCTCTCGCGCAAGGACTGGGACTTCCTTGACCCAGCCCAGAAGCTATCCTGGTCGCCCGACCAGATCCGCCGAGCCCACGGGGATGGCCGTGTCATCCCCAGCCTAGTTTTCAAAAAGGATGGGGTCAAGGTGCCTGACGCCCTGGTGAAGCACATCGCCAACACGCTCCCCTCGACAGACGCCGAGACGAGCCCGCCTACTCAGACTGGCCCACTGCCTTCTGTCGCCCGCCCGACTTGGGCAGACATCCAGGAGGATTGCCATGCCCAAGATTGTCAGCCCATCGCCCCTCAGGTCCACCAACAAGGCCACGCCTGAGCCTGAAGCCCGCCCATCTGCCTCGCCAACCAAGCCCAACCCTCGCATGACCATGGTCTATGAGGGCAGGACCTGGCACAACTTTTGGGGGCAGGACCCACCAACGCGGTCTTAGTGGACTGGGACTCCTACTGGTTCACTCTGGAAGAAGAACCCGCCCAGGGACAGCCAGCCCAGCCCAAGGGTCCTTCCCCATGCCCACAGCCCGCACACCCGCCTCAGCAGGCCCAAGATCCCCTTCAGCCGCCGGGAACCAAAGCCCCACCGCCACCTATGCCGCAAGAGCCAGAACCAGCCCATAAGAAGATCACGTGCTCTGTCTTCGGAGCGGACGGCTGGATTCTCAGAAAGGACCAGAGAGGCAGGGTGCACATCACCGAAGCCGACGACGCCAGCCCAATTGCCCATGCCGACCAGGGAGACCCCCGAGCCCAGGAAGTGCGCTCCATGCGGTTCAACATTTGGGCCCCGCCGTTTGTTGCGGGCCCGGTGGTGCCTTTCTCTATCATCAGCCCTCCGCCGGCACAGCCACAGCCGGCCCCAGCCCAGGAAGCCCACACCACGCCTCCCACGGCCCAAGAGCAGACCGACACCCAAGACGCCCAGCCCCAGGACGACTTCACAGACTTGCTTGGCCTGGGGCAAGATTCCTCGGATCGAGGGCTCCGCAACCCTTTCCCGAACCCACAGCGCCCAGGAAGGAGGTGACTTCCGGCCCAAAGCAACCAGCGCCAGGTCCATGCCCTGCCCACACCTGTCCATCACGCGACAGACGCTACCGAGGCACACTCATCATGCCCAGTGTCTGCCTACCGGATACATTCAACTTGGCGCCGCACCTCCTCAAGGTCTTCTTTGTGGACCATCGAGACCGCCCACGATGCATGCGCCCATGTTCAACACGCCCACACTGCCCCTTCGGCCTCGCGTGTGCACAAATAATGTCGGACACCGACAGTGAGCATTTGGACCACCTATGCAGCCGCTGTGTAGAGTTCCGCAGAGCCCATGAAGACCCATGGGGCTGGTTCCATGCCTATGCGCCCTAAGCCCATGTGGCGCATAGGCTTTTCCCTAGCGGATATGCCCACAACTTTCCGCCTAGCCCGCCCTAGCCTTTCAGCCTTAGCCCATTCTCGGCCTAAGAATTGGGCCTTATTTTGCATCCGCCGCCGGCCCGAACAAGACAAAAAAGGAGGGCATGCCCATGACACAACCACAATGTCCCATGCGGTTAGACTGCCTTGTCTAGTGTGTATGCCTACCTGACGCAGGTGCCCACCGTCGAGCCCATCGAGATGCAGCCGGAGCCCTGTCCACACCGAGAAAAGCCTCCTGCCTGGTTCTTCGCATTGCCTGTACAGGTTTGTGCACAGGTTTGACACTTTCATCCAAGCTTTCACATACATGGAGCGCCTGTCGTCAGCCTACTGTGCGACTCCTTCTTGCAGCCATTTCACTCAAGCCGCCAGGAACATGCTTCCGAGTCACAAACCGCGTGTCGACTGGAGCCCCACTCCCAGTCGTAAGAAGCCCAGACTGCCTAATGGCAACTATCCATCGTGATGGAGAGGACCTTATTTTGTGTTCATGTGCAGCAAAAATAAATGTTCTTTTATTTTTGCGGTTTGCCCGAATCTTGCCCGATTTACGAGTTCACTACAACAATCCACGAGTACAGACCACGTTCCAAATTTTTAGAAGCCAGTAGCCATTTTGGCTCAAGGTCTGAGTGGCTCAGACACAGAGTTTCATTTTTGAATCCTGGGGCCTGGCTTTGTGTAACCGTGTGAGCACCCAAACAGGTTCATCTTCAACCAGGCTCTCTAACCTTGCCCTTAGGGCCAGTGCAAGCAGCCCCGTGGGGGCTGCGGATGTCCTGAACTCCTCGGCCGTTCATGGGCACGTTGCTTCCTGAGGATTCCACTGCAGAAGAGGCGGAGCGCGCTCATTTGCGCCTGACCTGGGATCACGCCGCTGCCATTGGTCGCTTGTCGGATTCTGTTGCCGATTTGCAGTCGCAGGTTGCCGAACAGGACTCGGCCCTAGGCGATCTCCAGGAGCAGGTTATCCTTTTTGCTCAGGTGGGTTCCTTGCAAGAGGAGCGTGTCGGCTTCCTCCGTGCCATCGGCGTGGCTCCCTCCCAGTGGGCTCGTACTTCTCCGTGGACCCTTGTGCATCGTGTCATTCAGGATCTCGGTGGGCGTGTTCGCCACCTGTGGCGGCTGTACGGGCCGCGTCAACCGACGCTTACGCCGCTGGATAGTCTCGATCCTTAGCCCCAGGTTTTTCCGCCATGTCCAGCCCTACGTTTGCTGCGTCTGCCGAAGGCTCTGCATCTGGGGGGGGTTGTGCTTCGACTGACGCGCTCCAAGCCCAAGCGTGCCAGCGTGCGATTGACGAAGCCAGCTTTTCGTCAACTGCCTGTGTCCTCACTTTACCGTGGGAGAAGGGAGTCTTTAAGAGGGTTTTTGAGGGTGAAAGTTTTGGTTTACCCAAAATCCCTAAAGTCCGACTGTCAGCACAACTGCACCTTCCTGCTGCCTCCGCAGCGCCAAAGCCTGCAGCAGCGTCAACTGATGAGACGGCAGGTGTGTCTGACCCTATCTATGCGAGCGTCCTCACCAGACCGCGTCTTGAGCCAGGGGTCAAGGCAGGTTCTGATAGGGAGGCGGTTGTTAGGAGGTGGTTGTGCATCTTGAGCCATTGCCCTGAAGGTTCCGAGCTTGGAAAATTCTTGATGAACTCATCCCAGGACACCTTGCAAATCGTGTCGTCAGCTGTCGGCGGGAAAGCTACATCCACCTTGCTGAAGCGTGCCCGGTGTGCCGCTAAGCTTGTTGCCCATGCAACCACGCAAGGTACAAAGTTCTTTCCAATAACTTTAGATAAGGTTTTGGACTACATAAAACCCTTGGTGGCTGCCAAAAGACGAAGTGCCATCCACGAGTGTTTTGAGACAATTAATTTTCTTGAGCATGTCCTCGGGGTTCTAGTTGAAGCAAAGGTTCTGGAGCACCCGGTGATCCAAGGGATCAAGAGAGAAGCTTCGGGCGCAATCAGGCTGCGGACTCCGTCACGCACCCTGTATGTTGCAGAAATCTTTGCTCTCGAGTGCGAGTTGATCGAGGGTTTTCTCGACCCGATCGACCGGTATGCCCTTGGAGTTTGTCTGTTCCTTGTGTACGCCAGAGCCCGCGTCTCAGACATCCGGAACATTTACAAGATCGAACTTGACATTTCCGGAAACAAGGGATACATCGAGGTCAAGACCTTCGATCACAAAAATGCGCGGATCTCAAACGCCGCCGGCGTGCCTCTGATCCTCGTTGCTCCGATCCAAGGGCTGCATAAGTCTCCGTGGGGTTTGGCATGGGCTTCAACTTCGAGCAGGGGTTTCGCGGGCCCCTCCTGCCTACCCTTGCTGCTGACAACTCCTGGAGCTCTGCGGCAGTCAGCGCTAGTGAGGTGACCAGCTGGATGCGCAAGTTGCTCGCCCTTGCACTTGTACGCGAGCCGGAGGCAGGCTTCAGCTCCCATGGGTTGAAAGCCACGCTTCTCTCTTGGATGACGAAAGCGGGCTATGATAAGGTACCGTGCCTCATTTTGGGGCATCATGCGTTGAAGGGTGATCACAAACCCATTGAGACTTATGGGAGAGATACTCAAGCCCATCCCCTCCGACTCCTCGAGCAGTGCATCGAGCGCGTGAGAAGCGGTGTCTTTTCGCCCGACAGCACACGCTCTGGGATGATGTTGGATGTGCCTGTCCCTCTCGAGCCGGTGACTCCTGCACCGCCTTTGGCTTCTTCGTCAAGCGAACAAGTTGAGAAGCAGGTCGAGCCGCTCCTTGCCGTTCGGGCAGGCGCCCCCAGTGTGGAAGGAGGCGAGCCTTGTGACCAAACTGGGCCATCCAGCCCTACAAAGCCTACTGTGTGCTCCAGTTCCCAATCGAGCTCGTCGAGCAGCTCTTCGTCTGGAAGTGATTCCGAAAACATTGAGTATGAATCCCTTGGTCAGAAGGACGTCCTCGAACGGTTTGCTCCTTGTGCAACCATGGGTGTCGATATGGAACTTTTCCAGACTCCTACCACTAAATCACTCCACGCCCGTGCCAGAGGCTCTGATGGCCCCCTTTTGTGTGGACGAGCACTGCTTGGAAAGGTTCCCTTCGCCGGTAGAGTGTACAGCAAAACCTGGCTCTGCAAGCAGTGTGTCAAAGCACGTCCCATTCGGGATGCAGGAAGCTCTGCTGCCTTCCTAGACAAAGCTATGAACAAGGATGCTTGAGGAAAACCGGTATCGTGTTCAGACATGTTGCTAGGGCAGTTTGTTCATGTGTGCAAGCTCCCAGTAGCATGGTGCCCCTTGGAACACAGTCGACTGCTGTTCAGCGTGTGCCATTCAAGTGATGGTGCATGTGATCTGAGTATCCATGGGATACTCTCGTAGCCATTTCCTTGAAATGATGAAGTGTAGGAGCTACACATGAATCATGTCACGGTGTTTGCTCTTCCTGATTCATGTGCATGAGTGCTTGTATCGTTTCAGTCTTGTGCAGGTATCTCAGACGTGATCTATCTGTGTATAAGGAGCGATCTCGTCATGGCCAGCACCCTTACCGAATCCACCCCTGTCTTTCAGGAACGTGCTGCTGTTGCCGGCCTCAATGCCGAAGATCTTGCTTGCCTTGCGAAGCAAGGGCTCGACACCCTTGCGAAGCTCGCTTTTGCGTGCGGCCAACCTGGCGAGACTCCTTCTGATGACGCCATTAAAGCCTTGATTCGGCCTGCTCCTGCCGCAGGAGGAGAGGCTGCCCCCGAGCCTTCTCTAGGCTCCGTGTCTGCGCTTCGCCGTCTTCTTTTCGAGTCACAAACACTAATGATCAGCCAAGTGAAATCCCTGGTCGAAAGCCGCGAGGATCAAGTTAAAGAACTGCCTACCGCCGAGCGGCAGGATCGCATTCGCCGCCAGGCAGCTCGCCTGTCTGGTGTGAGTTTGTCAGGGCCCGGAGAATGCAGCTACGCAAGCTATGACCTTTGCATGCAGCTTTTGATGGACAACAGTGTGCGCTATCTCCCTCCGAGCAAGTTCACCACCAGACAAAGTGAACTGCGCATGGAGAAGCCCCGAAAGGAGCTCGAGATCGCCAACTCCAACCTAACCATCAAAGACAGGTTATCGTGCTGCAAGTACAGACCTTTATTTTCCGGAGCAAAATTTTCGAATTCTCCGAATGAGAAAGTTTTTCGGCTCAGACGAAGAGAGGCCACAGCCCTCTCAGTCACGACCCTCGTGGAGAGGGTCGGGGAAAATTTTCTGCCTTCAGCCAAGTGTGCTGGGGGATTAGCATCCTGCTGCCTGGTGGGGGGAGCGGGAGCCTCACAGAAGGTCGATGGCGTTTGGAGCTTACAATTCACGCTTGGTTTTGAAGCCGAGTTGCCTTGATGTTCTTGAGTTCTCTTCGAGCATGTGTGCGTTTTTGTAGTCTGAGCCAGGACGCAATTTAAGGATTCTTTTCTCCAGGTCTATCTTGGAGACTTTGTGAGTGCGTTAGTTGCTGTGCATTGTTGCCGCTTGAAGTTTGCTGGAGTGCAAGGAGACTTCTGGAGACGAGCTAGTGTCTTAGGTTTCAGAACTTGCTGCAGCTGGTAGCTGTGTTCGTCAATTGCGAGAGTTGTACACGTCAGGTCAAGATATTTTATCTTGCAGGGAACCAAGTTTGGAAGCTTTGTCCTGGGTGTGAAGGTACCCTTGTCTACACGTTTCTCCTGAAGCAGAATCAAGACTCAGCATGTGCAGTTCACGCCCCGTCCAGGCATCTTGATGTGGGGACCTGGAGTGCCCTCTTCGTTAGCCGATGGCCAAGCAAGAGAGTTCAGCAGCGTGTCCGTCCTGCCCTGACAACAGGTCTTAGACGCTAAGGGACGGAAAGTACGAGCAATCAGTGCTTGCATTCGCACTGTCTCTGCGAGTGGCTGCGTGGTTCGTGTTTGTGAAGCATGTTAGTTTGTTTTGGACCTTTGCAGATAGAACCACATTCTCAACTGTACACTGCTGCACTTCAGGTGGTGTTCTTCGAAGTGAAAAAGTCTTCAGAGAGAATTATAATGCATGGGCAGTTTCAAGAATGCTGCAAGGGCAGCTCAAGAGAGATCAAGCTGCTAGGGCAGTCGTGGTTAAAGATCGGCTGAAGGGTCAGCTCGTTGAGATTTGTTGCAAGGGCAACTCAAATAGTTCTGCTGTAAGGGCAGCTGAAAATGGCAAGGGCCAATATTCAATGCACACAATGAGTGTGCTTCATACGTCGCTGCAGGGGCAGCCTATTCTTTCAGGCCGTGACGACAGTTAAGATCGGCAAGGGCCGACAAGAGGTGCAAGGGCACCGATGAGTCGTCTAGTCGAGATGAAAGGATTCTCTAGAGAGCTTGAAAACAGAAGGAGCGCAGGCTGTTATGAACTCAGCACTTGATTGCACAATTGAAGGCAACGACGTGCTGACATCTGAGTTTATCCCTTGACTGTTTCTCGGCTTAAAAAAAAAAGGAGAGACAAGGGCAAGGGTCGCAAAGATTCCGAGAGGAAACAAAAGCCAAGGGGCAAAGAAAAAGAGGCGAAAGCCCACATGTTTCCGTGGCCCCTCTTTCCGGGCGGTGAATCCCGAGGCTCTGCCTCCATGGGCCGCAGAAGGAACAGAAGCAGCAGTGACAGCCGTCGCTCAAGACGCAGAGACAGGAGCCGAAGGACGTCTAAGATCACGTAGCCCAAGTGGGCGCCGAGACAGGTTTCCAGAGACCCAGCCGAGGACCCCAAGTGTTGGGATTTCTAGCATGCGAGCTACGCAGCCAGGATTTCACTGGTGCCAAGTGCCGACAGCGGCCTTTGGCGTGGCGTCGGGCCCACAGGCCCAGGCATCCCTTTCCGCACAAAAGGGAGCTGAGGCAGCTTCTTCTTGGAAGTATTCCTCCCGGTGGCAAGAACAGTCCACCCCATGGAAGAGCCAGCAGTCTTCATGGGGCAAGGGTTGGGGGCAATCCAAGAATTACGGCTCCAGCAGCTCGTGGCAGGGCTCTGGTGGGAATCGGCGTGAGAAGTGGGACAAGCCTAAAGGCTGGAATCTCGGGTGGAGGCAATTGGCGACTTCATGCGGCATGTAGGGTAGCTGGAGCTGCTAGATGCCGTGAGGCCTACTGCATCAAGAGTTGCTATGCAAAGGTCTATGGAGTGGCTGTTGCCCTGCCATTCTAATTTTCTGTTTCCGGCCGACTGCTGCGAGTGATGAAACAGCAACCAGTGCACGAGGGTTCCACTGATGCATTGGACGTTCAGAGTTCTCATGGTCCAGTCCATGTCGGCATGTGCTGCTGAGGAACGTGCACAATCCGTTTAGCACTTCTAGAGCAAGCTCTGTTCCCGTGCTTCAGCAGTCAGTGGATGCATGTCACCCTGTCTGTGAATGCACACACACCGCTGCCTTTTGCTTTCTGCAGCATTGTGCAAACACACTGTATGCATTCTTAACCTACCCTGCTGCCTCGTGTATGGACGAATCTTCATCATCTTTGGAAGCAGCAAGCTCAGAGAGTGCTGAGTGGTGGCAGCGCGTGCCCCAAGCCCGTTTGCAAGTGGTCAGAATCTTGCCCCGAGACTTTCATTTGGAGTGCTTGTTCAGAAACATACATCAAGAGCCCAATCTGCACACCTACGTCCTTGAACCCGACCTCCTCAACATCCTCCTCAGCCAAACTGAAGGTTCGAGAATTTTGGTTCTTCTTCCCGTTCGGTCGTGGTACTACTTGACGTGTTCAGCCAGCTGGAGTAACACGTGCCTCAGGCATCTTCTTGCACGTCATGTCTAGAGATATTACAGATGAGGAGATTGCTGAACGATTCTGGAGAGTGCCAGTGTGGGAAATGAGCTTCACCCTCCTTCAGCACTTGAGACAGATTGCTTATCTTCGCGAGAGATTCGATGCTCTCGAGCGGTGTCACGACCGAATGCAACAGCAGTATTCGCATCTCGTTGATCTTCATGCACGTGTTCTGAGTGAGTGCGAGCAGCTTTGGCAAACATGTCTGATACTTCAGTTTCACCTCGATAGGCTTCAGAGTGTTGTCGACCTCCTACAGAATCAAACCCGAGGTTTCCACGACGACATGACACATACCCTGTGGCTCCAGGGCCTCCGAGTGCACGTGACCCCCCCTGTCCCACCGAGACCCAGTAACGTGGTCCGTGTGCAGCAGATGAGGGACAATGCGCGCCGCTCCCGGCCTTACTGAATCTTCCCGCGGGGCAGAAGTGCAAAACATTTCCAGTGCTGTCTCTGTGATGCTCATGTGGCAGCAATCTGCGCGTGTATTGAAGCACCATGTTATGTCATGTCACGTATGCCACCTCAAGTTCTTGTTTTCTTCTGTGGGCCCGAGTTTGGGATTTTGTACAACAACATCCTGCCAAGATGGACTTGTGTCTTGCAGAGCGGCAAGCCGAGGCTTTTTCTGCTGAGTACGAGGACATTAACTTGCCCCCCTGCACCTCTTTTCCCCATACCGAGCCTTCCGGTTTTTCAGACTCCAAATGCCACGCTGATTCATACATCAGCATCAGCTGGGGAATCAGTGCCAGTTGGTTGGTATGACAGACAAGAAAGCGAGCCCACAGAGGCATGCTTTGGCATCTTTGATGAGCCAATCCAGAGTGCCGAAGTGGCATCTCTGGGTGAAGAGGCCAAAGAATCGCAGGTGTCTTGAGCTCCTCACCGGGGGCTAACGTTTCAGCAAAGTGATCAAGTGTAAAAAGAAAGATGGACCTTTCGAGGAGGCTGTTGTAGGCATGTGATTGAAGAACATGTAGATGTGGAAACAGCTGCTCGAAGCCTCCCCGTCCACCAGTTTTGCCAAAAACTGCAAGAATTGGACGAAGAGGAGAAGATGTTGTCCCTTCGTGACATGTTTGGCTCGAAATCACCACACACAATCCAGAAGCGTGCATCGACCTTGTTGAGGCTGTTTCGTTGGCTTCAAAGACAGGCAGATGCGCAAGGGACCTCTGTGGAGGAACCCCTTCTCCCATCAGAGGAGGCGGTGTACAAGTTCTGCAGGGAGATATCCCACAGCAAAAAGGGCAAGCGGGCACCTCAGAGCATGGTACAAGCGTTGAAGTTTGTGAAATTTCTGCTTTCCATTCCAGATGTGGAGAATTCCATCTCCCCCAGGGTCCGAGGCTTGGCAGACCGAGTGGCAGGCGAGCACGAGCCCACACACCAAGCCCGGGACCTAACAGTGCTTCAAGTTAAATTTCCGGCAGAGTGGGTTGGGAACACCGAGCTCCACGTTGTTGAGTGATTTGCAGCAGGAGTGTTCCTGTGTCAGATCTTCAGCAGGAACCGTTGGTCAGACATCAGGCACGTGCGATTCTTGGAGTTCGACTTTCTGGAAATTGGACCCGAGATTTGTGGTTTTCTGGAAGGAATCCTTTCAAGGCAGGGCTAGAGAGACGAAACAGTCCAACAAGAAGAAGAAACTCTCGTTCTTCATGCCCCTCGTGGCTCCAGTTCGGGGGTCCAACCTAAGGTGGTGTGGGCAAAAGAATGGCAGAAGGTGGCTGCCGAAGCAGGGATAGTGCTCTCGAAGACCCCTGTAGGCCCTGTACTACCGGCCACCGCCCCAGATGGCGACTGGCTGCAGAGTTCCATGGACTCCGCCGAGGCTTCCAACTAGCTGACGGGACTGCTAAGGGACCGCGACCCCTCAACAGCGAGGGTTGCCACACAGTCCTTGAGACACAATGCTGTTGGGAGGTTGAGCAAATACGGCATTGTGGGCGAGACACAGACACTCTTGTCACATTATTCGACTGGAGCTTTGAGTACATTAGCCTACTCGAGAGATGCCCTTAGTGGCCCCCTCCGGCAGCCGGAGGAAATGCTGAAGCAGGTACGGGAAGGCTCGTTTTGCCCGGACGCTATTCGAAGTGGATACTTTGCCCGAGCCCAAGGATGAGAGGCAGGTGCATCTGTTGACCTCGGGTCCTGACTTCCGATCAGCAAGGTAGGCAGCTTGGATGGGCTGCCCGAGAATTCCGAAAGCACGCATGAGCTTTTGCCAATTTGCCAGCTCTAGTGGTAGGATTTCAGGACAATCTCCTGGGGTTGGACTGCTTTGCCCCCTGTAAGGGAAGGTCTTTGAGTCACCAAGTGCCATGCCCGTCTTGGAAGCATCCGCACCGTTGATAGCGGAAGGAGAAGAATTAACCCTAGAAAGAAAGTGAGGAATTAGACAAGCTGGCTACCGTGACCTGTGGGCTTTGCGAAACAGTGCTCGATAAGAATGACACACAAGATGCAGATGACAACGGGGAGGCAGAGTTCTCGCCTACCACATCAGCAGACGGGTCCTCCGAGGAAACCTCTGATGGAGCCTCGTCGGAAGAAAAGGAGGAACCAGCTGCGGCCCTGAGTCTGCCGAAGGGTTGGAGAGCGATCCGAAACAAGAAGTGTACCATGCTACATCTGTACAAAGTGGGTCATACGACGCTGAAATGTGGCAAGTGGATCAGCGTTAATTTTGTAGAAATGGAAAAGCCCTCAGCGAAGTGGCTACAGTGCAGCCGTTGTTTTCAGGAGTTAAGAGCGGGGTGACATTGTTGTTGGCCGCTTTGTGTGTATGTGCAGCACAATCCCTTTGTACCAGCTCTCTCTTTTGCAATTTGCAGTTTTGGCCCCACGCCCTAAACATGGCAAACGCAGCGGATAGTCAGCCTTTCTTCGAGCAACATGCTCGCAAGGTCGGGATGGAGCAGCAACTCTTGGAAAGATTCATAACCGGAGGGGTCAGGACGGTGTCCATGGCAGCCTACGCCGCCACTCAACCGGGTCAACCTCTCACAGACAAGGAGGTCTCCACTCTATGCACGAGTCTGGGGCAGGACAACCCCACTCGTGCGCAATTGACGGTCGTCAAGAGGCTCCTGTTCGAGTGCCGGACCATGAGTCTGGCAAATTTGGAGGCCACCGTGGGACAGCAGCCGGACTCAGTTCTACGTAAGCTGCCAGGAGCTGAGAGAGCCCAGCGCCTGGACTTGCAGGCTCAAAGGAATTGGCGCAAGGCAAGCCAGCCAAGGAACTTGTGCTGGACGCTTCGGGGGACGGCCTCTCGGTTCAGGATAAATCCCCTAAAGTGGCGGCCCAGTTGGGGTCAGACATGGCGACTTACAGAGCGTTGCAAAGACGGGGTCTGGCCTACGACCTCGTTGGCGTGTTGAATCCCAAGGCGCACGAGAAACGGCTTCAGAAGGACTTTGATACCTTGCAGACCCCAGCGCCCCCAGGCTTCAACCGTCCGACGCTGCAGCAGGTCCTGCGAGCAGATCGGGCCTTGTGGAGGGAGCTTGGCAGCAAACAGCCGACCCTGAAAAGGGCAGCGGCGAAGGTGCCGCTCGCGGACGCCCGGTGCTTAGATCAAGTCTTCCTGGAAGCCACAAACACGGTTGCAGTCAATTTTCACTTCATGCCGACACCTCGTGCGGAAGGGTTCACAGATAAAGGAGGCAAAGGCGCGGGCAAGGGCCCCCAACCGTTGGGGCGATGGAAAAGGTATGGGCAATGAAAATATCAGAGGACAGACAAACCAGAGAGGCGAATCAGGGGTCAAGGGAGCCCGCCTCCCCACGAAGGGCAAATTTGACAGTGGCAAGGGCGGCTTTCCGAACCAGTGTGTTGCAAGGAGGCAAGGGGGAGACCCCCATGCCGGCCGCCTTGCGAGGTGGCGTGCCGAACGACGAGCACGGAGATCCTCTTTGTTTTGGCTTCAACCTAGGACAGTGCAAGGATGCCCCATTGGGGGGCAGATGCGCACGTGGCAGACATGTACGCTGTCACCCAGGTTGCTTTCGGAAGCATCCCTTTTCTGAGCACAAGCACTCAGGCCAGGCAGCCTGAAAGAACGCCCCGTTGCAAGGGACGTTGACAGCGCCTCCGCGCTGGACCAGGCGTCCCGCACTGCTCTGACCGCGCGTCGCGCACAAGCATGCGCGGAGAGAGCGGAAACAGCCATGGGGGATGGAGATAGTTCAGCCCAATTTTGTGAACAGGACAATTTTCCCGCTTCTTTGGCGGACAGGCCCAAAGAGAGCTGCAAGGAGTCGCATCCTGCTGCTGTTGCGAAAGGCCAAGAGAATTAGCCCCCGCTCCTACGGGTGACTGAGCCAATCCCACAGTTTTCCAAGTCTTCCGCTGAGGCTTCCGTATTTTCACCTAAGGCGAGTCATCCTGGCGCGAACAGGTCTGGACAGGCGCAATGTACTGCGCCCCAGACCATACATGAGTGTTGGGTTTTGGAGTTTTTCGCAGGGTCAGCCGGGATTACCTCGGCGGCTGCTTCAGCCGGCCTCAGGCGGTCGGTCGGAGTGGACAAAGTCCGCAGGCCAAGCCTCAAGGGCAAGATATTACAGCTGGTCTTGCTCCTGCTGTCGCACAGAGGTCTGCTGTGGAAATGGCTGGGTTCCCCAGGACTGGCCGCCGTATGGCTGGCGCCGCCCTGCGGCACATCCAGCAGAGCCAAGGAAATCTAGCTTCCGTGGGAGGACGAGCCGCATCCTTTGAGGTCAGTGGAGTACCCGGAAGGGCTTCCGGGCCCGAAAGGGTGGCAAAGGCCAACGAGCTTTGCCGGCTCACGGCCCGAAGCTGGGACTTTTGCTGCGAATGCAGCATCGTGGTAATCATAGAAAACCCCTATCGCAGTCTCCTCTGGCGTTGCATCGCCGTTGAACACATCCTGAGGAGTGAACAGGCGATTGTGGTCCAGTGCGACTTTTGCATAATGGGAGGCTCGAAATGAAAGCTGACAGCCTTGCTGTGCAACAACGACCTCATCACAGGCCTGGCTGTCACGTGTGTTGGATCCCACGAGCACCTACCGAGACCGCGTACCCGCAACAGTTTTGTAAGCACTTCGTTTCCCTGCTGTTGCAGCATCTGACACAGAAGGGTTGTCGGGATGGCCTTAATCTATTGGAGGGAGATCCCGCAAACTCCTCAGGAGCCAGGGTGGTAACGACACAGGCAAAGACCAAAAGGGCTGCATCCTTTCAGGTCATCCCCGGATTTTGCCGACGAACCAGATGGACAGTGCCCAGCCAACTCCGCAGCACTCTCCAAACTACACAGTGGTTAGGACCGGACAAGATCCCGGGGTTCAAGGCGCCAGGATCCCCGGCGTTGAGAGTGACGCCCCTACTGTCTTCTGCGACGGACGTTCTGGTGGAGGTGCCGTGGAACCCACAGGAATTTGTGGCGAAAGCCCGACTGGTCGGCTACCCCCGACACCTGTGTCTCGGGGTGCCACCCGCCCTCAGGAAGGTAATTTTGGCGTGCTCTAAACAGCCCGCAGCCAAGGTGATTGAGACTCGAGCAGCGCAGTCACTAAGATGGCTCCAGCGAGCCCAGGAGACCAACCACCAGGTCATCAAGGAAGTTGAGGACTCATCTCAGTTTCTGGAAGAACTGTGGCTGAAAAGTCTCGATGAAGTCTCGAAAGGCTGCTCGGAAGGACCGTTCTGAGAACAGGGCTTGCCACAAGGAGCTGTAATCAGCCAACGTTTTGCAATCCAGCAAGGGAGCAAGGTGAGGCTGATCGACGACCTGTCCCAGAGCTACATCAACGAGGCACGCAGGACAAGGACTGCTTGGAAACCATTGACCTGAATCAGCGTATAGGCGACTGCCACTGTCCGAAGAGGCACTCAACATGGCTTACGTGGCGGTCAAGGACCCAAGCTAGGGGGAGGTTCGCTTCTTCAGGCTTCTTTGCCTTCCATTCGGCGCCGTGGCAGCGGTCCACGCGTTCCTCAGGGTCAGCTTGGCTATTTGTCATACAGGAAACACGTTTTGGCACTTGCCTTGGAGCTCGTCTTACGATGACTTCACGCTGTTGTCAACACGACAGCTGGCCCCTAGCGCAGAGGCCAGTGCATGTTTTTTTGCTAGACTTGCTCTGCTTTGAGTTTGACAGAGACGGAGACAAGGCTCCGCCGTTCCAGGAGGTCTTCAGTTCTTTGGGAGTAGAATTTGACCTTACAGACAGCAGCGAGCAAGTTTTTTTAGGATCCAGAATACAGCAGAACGAACCAAAAGTCTCATTGAAGACCTGGCAGTCTTTCAGGAGCAAGGAGCCTCCAGCCCTAAGACCTGGAATCGACTGAGGGGAAGGCTGCACTTTGTGGCGGGCCAACTCTCTCTGGGCGCTTGCCGAAGGGCTTCATGAGAAGAAGCTCTGACATCATCAATGCCCCCGCATATGTCAGGAGACAGAACAAGAGCCTCCCTTTGCGCAGCACTTCAGGAGCTACGACATTACATAGCCGAAGCGCCGCCGAGGATGGTGCGAGCCCAGACCTCAGAGACGGTGTATCTTTTACGGACGCCTCGCCAGAGGACTCCAAGGCCTCGAAATGGGTCTGGGAGCAGTCCTGTTTAATGAAAAAAGTCCAAAGTCATCAACGAGCTTGAGAGCATAGCTGTTCTCCTGCTCTTCATTCTAGCCCGAGAATTTCTCCGGGGAAAACACGCGATGTGCTACTTAGACATTGAAGCGGTGCGCACGTCGCTCCTCAAGCTGACCAGCGATTCAAAGGCCTTGACCCTCTTGAGCAATGCTTGTGCATTGGAACAGGAGCTCGAGATGATTCAGTTCTACGCTCGGGTACCGAGCAAATCCAACGCGGCGGATACCCCATCCCGCCTTCACTTTACAGGGTTGCCACACAATTGCAGGTTCAAGACCAGGTGCTTCTCGCGGAAATGGCCAAGATGGTAAACTCGCTTGTCGGGCGCCGCGCCTGACACTCCCATGACCAAGGAAGGGACTTGCGTTCTCCCCGACCAAGAGAGGGAGATTTCGTTTCTCACACACCTGCAGAGGACAGATCCCGGATGGAAGCAGACATGGCAAATCCCCTTCCTTGGAAAAGATACCTGTGCATAAGCTTCAGTCTTGTTAGCGTGAGGGTGCACGTCATTGCAGTCTGTGCATGTGAATGCATCGCTGTGCATGGGACACAAATGAACAAGCATGGCATCGATGGATTGTCCTGTATCTTTGGCCGGGAAATGTTTTCACACATTTGAAACATTTTTGTTTGGAAAATAAGGTTATCGTGCTGCAAGTACAGACCTTTATTTTCCGGAGAAAAATTTTCGAATTCTCCGAATGAGAAAGTTTTTCGGCTCAGACGAAGAGAGGCCACAGCCCTCTCAGTCACGACCCTCGTGGAGAGGGTCGGGGAAAATTTTCTGCCCACCCACCCACTCCAATAGTGCCTTACATTTGGCAGTTAGGATGTGGTAACCAATGTGCCGGTTGTGGATATCGTACCTTGTAGAGTGGCGACCACAGGAACAGTTGACGACGGAGATTTTGCAACTATGTCAGGAAATGACTCTGTGTGCACAGGATCAGCGCGAGCCTTACTTTGTGTGGCTCGAGAATTGCTTTTCTCACCACTTTGCCTTTTTCAGCACTCTTCATGGCGCGGTCGTTGACACGAGCTCAGCTAGACGAATTTCGAGTGTGGCTTCACGCTTTGAACATGGATTCCCTCGTGAAGGTGGCTGAGGTATTGGACGATCTCATGGCGGACCGTGAGATGCAGCAAAGAGAAGCTGCTGCAGCTCTTCAGCCTCAGTGGCAGTTTGTGAACCCTGAACCTGCCTTGGAGCAACCGGATGAAGCCGCTTCGTCAAGCTCTCAGCGACAGCCAGAAACTTCTTGACCTGTCGTTATGAACCTGATGAATATTCTGTTCAGGCCGTCACACCTAGGTCGGACCTGTGAGGGGAAGTGAGTTAGCCGACGTTCGGGAGATTTCGTTTCTCACACACCTGCAGAGGGGAGATTTCGTTTCTCACACACCTGCAGAGGACAGATCCCGGATGGAAGCAGACATGGCAAATCCCCGATCCCGGATGGAAGCAGACATGGCAAATCCCCTTCCTTGGAAAAGATACCTGTGCATAAGCTTCAGTCTTGTTAGCGTGAGGGTGCACGTCATTGCAGTCTGTGCATGTGAATGCATCGCTGTGCATGGGACACAAATGAACAAGCATGGCATCGATGGATTGTCCTGTATCTTTGGCCGGGAAATGTTTTCACACATTTGAAACATTTTTGTTTGGAAAATAAACACCCTTGATTTCAGCTGCGATACGAGCACCGCCCTGAGCCTGCACCATGCGCTTCACCGACGCGCCCTTGCGTTGGATCTTGTAGGGCTTTCGACCTATAGCAAAGTGCTGGCATACAATGAGTTCTTGCTCACCTAGTCGAGGAACCCACTGCAGGCTTCAGAGCCACTACCGTCCAGCAAGTCCTAGAGGCCGACCGTGCTGCCTGGGTCCGCCTTGCTGAGCTCACACCTAAAGGTGTGCGTGCAGGCTCCGACGGAATCCTCCCCCTGGATTCTCTTTGGGAACGAGTGCAGCTCGAGCCTCGAGTCGCGTACAAGTTGATGCCTGTTCCAGGTTCTGCCCCCAAGAGCACCACGGCCCCTGATGACCCCGACACCGAGCGTCCCCCCAAGCGTCCCCGCCGAGACAAAGGTAAAGGCAAAGGCCGTACTAAAGGGCAACCTGCTTCCGAACCAGCTAACACTCCAGCCGAGCTGAAAGGCCTTTCCTTTATGACCAAGCGAGGCGGGCGCCGTTGCTGGAACTTCAACATGGCCTGTGGTTGCAAGGCTGCCAAGGTAGGCCAGGACTGTCCTCGTGGTTCCCATACCTGCATGCGCTGCGGTGGCCACCACGGCGCACACGAGTGCCCGAAGAAGGGCTCTTGACGTGAGCCTTGCGAGCTCCCCAACCCTTGTCCAGCGGAGGATCCGCCTACTGCACCGGCCCACAGCCCGCTGGTGCCTGTGCTTCAGCCCGCTGCCAGTGACACTTCGCCACCTGCAGCCTGTTTTCCCCCTGGTGTTCCGTTGTCCCAACCGAAGCCAGTTGCTGAAGCCGCTTGCATATCCTCCTTTTTCGGGGTTGAGGTGTTCGCAGGTACGGGCCGTCTCACCGCCGAGCTTCGTGCCGTGGGTTTCAGGGATAGCATAGGGTTGGACCATGTGCTCCCGCCACGCGCTCCCGCGCCGATGCTCCGCCTCGATCTTTTGCATGATTCATCTGTTCAGCTGCTGTTTGAGCTTTTGGACAACCCTTTTTGCCTATACATCCACCTCGCCCCCCCCCATAGCACGGCCTCTCGTGCCAGATTGATCCAACGCACTGCCACTGACCCCCCACCTACCCGGAACGACCAGTTTCCGGACGGCCTGCCGATGCTCGCTCCCGTTCTGCAAGCCCGGGTTGCTGCTGCAAATCAGCTTTTCGCTCTCTCCGGCCGCATCTTCCGGCACGCCATCGGCCAGGGCAAGTTGGTCTCCTGTGAAAATCCACACAGAAGCTTCTTCTGGGATACCAGCCACTGGCGTGCTCAAGTCACAGGTCTTTCCTACGAGTCGACCATCCTGGATCACTGCTGCTTCGGGGGCCGCCGTCGCAAACGTACCTTGCTGGTGCACAATATACCCGCCTTCCGTGGTCTTGCCGTTCTTTGCCCTGGCGAATCACCTGAGCATGTCCATGCCCCCTGGGGCAAAACCGCCCACAACCGCTGGGCCACTAGCCAGGAAACCGCCTACCCGCTGCAGCTGTGCCGACACATGGCTTTACAGGTCAAAGAACAAGCTCTTGCGCGTGGCCTCACCCCGCTGCCCTCGTCTCTGGCTGACCCGCCAGATCACCTGCATCGCGCTGCCCAAGTTGCCCTCGGCCAGCAACCCACGGGCAGGAAAATCCCCGCCATGGTGCCTGAATTCAAGCAGATAGTGAGCGTGGACTCCGTCCAGCCAATCCTGCCCGGCGTGCGTAAGGTGGCTTCGGAGTTCCCATTGCCCGACCAGGCAGTGTCTGAACCTGCCCTGCCCTCACTTCCGCCGGGGGCCCGCATCTTGCGTCGCTTGACACTGGGGGGCAACACCAGCCGACGCGAGCTGCGCCCTCGAGTTGCCGAACCGAGCCAGTCCCTCCGTGCACTGTGTTCTGGGGACCCTGCTGAGCAATATGCCCACTCCGAACAAGCCGCGCGGGGATCCGGCTCTGACCGCGACTTCTCTTGGACGTCGGGTGCATACGCTCAAGGAGGGCTTGCAGGGGTCCGCAGACACACTAAGGAATTCCCGCTAACCAGCCGGCTTTTGTGCAGATTTGTTTCCGAACGTGCACCAGGACACCTCTTCTCCTGTGTACTCCTTGGTAGAGATTTGCAAGGGCCACCGCATGTTGACAAAAACAACCAAAAGGGTATTCCAAATTGCATCCTCAAACTAAGCGACTTTGAGGGAGGTGGCCTCTGGCTGCAGAATTCGTCTGGTGAGACGATGTGTCCCCATTCAAACTCACCACAGAATTGGGGTAACGTGATCGACTTTCAGAACGGACGAATCATTTTTGACCCACATGCACTCCACTGTGCCATGCCCTGGACGGGTTTGCATCGCGACATCCTTGTGGCGTTCCACCCCAGGAATGTGTCAAAGCTCTCGAACAGCCAGCTCGAGGAGCTAACAGATGTGGGTTTCCCCTTGGCTTCCGCCAGCCAGATTGCAGCTGCCGAACGCCTGGACAGCGTGCCCCCTTGGGCATACCCTGGCAGCCTGACGAGTTCATCCAACGCGCAGCATGTGCAGTGCACCCACGTCACATGCTGAGTGGCTTGCCAGAACCTTTGCTGTGCACCTTGAATGCTTTGGCTTCGAACACCCCAGAGTGGATTGGGCGCACTCGCACTGAAGAGATGCGCAAGTGGATCAGTCGTGCAAGGGACCTAGAGGGCCAAGAGGCCGAGCTGAAAGAGACGATGACGCCAAACTGCCGTGCTATCCTCAAGAGCAAACGGCTTCTTGTCTTTGAAGAGATGCTTCAAGCTTCGGGACATGAAGACGTAGCAATCGCCAGGGAAATGCGGTCAGGGTTCCAGCTAGGAGGAGCCATACCTAGGAGCGAAGCTTTCCGAGTGAGACGCCATTCCGCTTCCGTGACAATGGCAGACCTGCACCACCATGCGTCATCTCTGCGTCAGAGTATTCTGGGCTCGACCAAGAGCTCTGGAGACGAAACTCTGGACCGTGAGACCTATGAAGCAACGGTCCAAGAGGTGGCAAGAGGCTGGTTGGAAGGTCCGCTTCCCCTAAGCAGCCTTAGCGAAACTTCCCTGGTCACACGCCGCTTTGGAGTCATGCAGAAGGGGCAAATACGTCCTATCGACAACTACCTGGAGAGTGGAGTCAACAGCACTGCCAGCTCGGTCGATACGATCATCGTGCACACCGCAGACTGCATCGCCGCGGGACTGGGCCACAGGATGAGCCAGGACAAATCCTGCCGTACGCACCAGCTGCAGGTCCGATCATGGGATCTGCACAAAGCATATAAAAACCTGCCCCTAGCAGATGAAGTACTTGATGACTCCTTCCTGTGCGTGTACAACCCGGCGACGCAGGCAGCTGAGCTCTTCAAGCAAAGGGTGTTGCCCTTTGGATCTCGGCACTCGGTCCACAGCTTTTGCAGGGTGTTAGGGATATGGAGGATTGCAGTAACGACACTGCTGATGCACCTGAGCGTCTATTTCGATGACTTCGTCGGGGCGGAGATCGAACCCTTGTCAAAGATCTATGAGATGTGCTTGGACATGCTTTTCAAAGTCCTTGGCTGGGGAACATCGAAAAACAAGGAGCATCCATTTGGGACGCTTGCTAAAGTCTTGGGCCTCGAGATCAACCTTCGTCACGCAAAACTCGGGTGGGTCTACCTTTCTAATACTCCGGAACGGCAAAAAGAGGTGTTCGACTTCGTGAGCGAAATTCTCGATCAAGGCTTCCTAAAGAAGAAGGATGGCGAGAAACTTCGTGGTCGTCTTCAGTTTGCCGAATGCCAAATCTCGGGAAGAGGTGCCGGGATGGCATATAAGAAACTTACCGGCTTCATCAGGGATGGTGCAGGCTACCTTGATGACGAAGCTCGAAGTACACTTCTGACTTTGCGTGACAGAATCCTTCATGCTCCAAACAGGTGCGTTTCACAGAACCTCTGCAACACGATGCATTTATACGTGGATGCCAGCTGTGAGAAGCGGAAGGTGGGGCTTGGTGGCGTGCTTGTCAACGAGACTGGAACTAAGATTGGGTTTTTCAGCGAATGGGCTAGTGATGGCGTGGTGGCTCGAATGAACCCAGCCAGTGGAAATCCAATCTTTGAGTTTGAATGTCTCGCGATTCTTATGGGCCTACGGACCTGGGCACCACTGATAAAGAACTGCAATCTGGTGATCTTCACAGACAACGATGCGGCTCTTGCGTGCATGATTCGTGGAATGTCGGACAATGACTATGGCGGGAAGATCGTAACCTGCGTCCATGAACTCAGTGACGAGATGGTGTGCAACGCGTGGTACGAGCGTGTCAACACCACTTCGAACATAGCAGATGGCCCATCCCGAGGCGCCAGAGACGAGTCGTGGGGACCAAGATTTGAGATAGACGTGGATGCTATCGTAGACACTGCCTTGAGCGCTTGGGGGTGAATCGAAGGCAGTGCAACTCTTGCACAGCAATCGTGGATTGCAGCATCCTCGGGGATGTAGTCTTGTATACCCAAGGGTATACATCTTCGCCTTCACTCTTTTGCACAAATCTCCCCAGCGTTCGCCTAGAGGCTGAAAATGAAAGAGCGGTGTTACTTCCATTCGACATGCAAGATGTGTGCTGACATGCTCTCACTAAGATGCATCGAGCAAACCCTTGACACATAACACGAAATAAGGCAACTATCCATCGTGATGGAGAGGACCTTATTTTGTGTTCATGTGCAGCAAAAAAAAATGTTCTTTTATTTTTGCGGTTTGCCCGAATCTTGCCCGATTTACGAGTTCACTACAACAATCCACGAGTACAGACCACGTTCCAAATTTTTAGACTTCATGTCTGAACATGACTCACGTTCTTTGACATTCCATGTGTTTGAAGCAGTGCGTTGCCTGCATGCAAGGTCTGAGTGGCTCAGACACAGAGTTTCATTTTTGAATCCCCACCCACCCGCCCGGGGGTGAATCGAAGGCAGTGCAACTCTTGCACAGCAATCGTGGATTGCAGCATCCTCGGGGATGTAGTCTTGTATACCCAAGGGTATACATCTTCGCCTTCACTCTTTTGCACAAATCTCCCCAGCGTTCGCCTAGCGGCTGAAAATGAAAGAGCGGTGTTACTTCCATTCGACATGCAAGATGTGTGCTGACATGCTCTCACTAAGATGCATCGAGCAAACCCTTGACACATAACACGAAATAAGATGAAGATTTAAGGCCTAACACGCCCTCCCCTGCCTCCCTGCCGGGGATCGCGACAGATCTCCTTTCAGAGGTTGAGCTCGACCTCGACCCGATCGAGGACTGGGATCCCCCGAATCCTCCCTCGAGCACTGGGCACGATCCCATTGAGGACTGGTCCCCAGACAATGAAGCCTCTACGCGCTCTCATCCCCGGCAGCAAGCCCGCACGCCCAAGTCGGCCTCCGACTCCTCTCCCTCTTGGGAGGTGCTCGGAACGGAATCAGTCATTCCAGGCTTCCAGCCCTGCACAAGGGCCGGTCCCAGCATCTGCCCAAGCCCGTACCAAAAATGCGCGGAAGGCGCCCGGTGCAGGCTCCGCACAACACAGCCTTGCCCCTATCGGCCTGGCCCCAGCCTCCGTGTAAGTCCCCGCGTTCGGGGCCTTGCCCTAAACACACTGCCTTCACGCTTGGAGGCCCACTAAGCCCGCACCTGCCGCTGCCTACCTGCCCTTGCCGACACTGCCACCGGAGACTCCAGAGCCGCATCCTCGAGGCGCCAGGAGACAACCATTCGCCAACAACGGAACGATGCTTGCCAAAGAAAAACCGGGTGTGGCTGCTCCTCTTGGACAAGCTAGGGAGCACCAGCTCCCTCTGGACTGAGACGACCCAATCTCTCACTCCTGAAAGACTTCGGGTCCGAGCCATCTCAGCCTACGCAGCCTCCAGCCTCGAAGCCTACCTGTCCAGGTGCACAAGATTCCTTGATTTCCTGCAGGCACATAATATGGCGTTTTCAACACTCTCTCTGGCGGAGCTAGCCGACTACCTTGATGCCGCTTACGCCTCTCTTGCCCAGGACAGAGACGTGTGCCAGATCTCGCCCAAGACAACCCTCAAAGCCCTGTCTTGGCTGTCGCGCATGGCCCAGGTGCGGCACCTGCTAGAGTTACTCAGCAATCCGCTCATCTCGACATTCAGAATCGACACACAGCCCAAAGATCGCAAGGAAGCCCTGCCCATTCCCATGGCATGCATTGTGTCGTGGGAATGCCTAGTGTGCAAACCTTCCACAGGCACCCAAATGGTCCTCCTGCTCGGAGCCTTTTTACTAGCCTACCACGCGTGCCTGCGCTTCGGCGACTTGCAACGCATCCGCCTAAGCAGCCTCAGCCTGACAATGCAAGCCCTCCGGGGAATTTGCTGGACGACCAAGACCTCTAGGTCAGGCCAGCCGTTCGCGGTGACCCTGACCGGCCTATCAGGAAGAGGCCCCTCGACCTCGTGGTGCCTGGCCTACCTCACACGCCTACACGCCTCTTGGCTTGCAACGGAACGTTTCTGGCGCTCTTCATCCGAACCGGATTTCATGCTGCCCATTCTGCCAAATTGGTCCAACCCATCCCAAGCGGGGGTTGCATTCCAGTCGCCCATGTCCTACACTCAGGCCCTGCCGGCACTGCGCTCTGCGCTGCAGCTCCGCGAAGCAGCCTCGCCAAGCGCCCTCAACGCCCAGGAAGCACTCAATTTCACCTTACACGGCCTCAAAGTGGGGCTCCTTAGCCCAGCCAAGCAATTACGGCTGCCTGCCGACCCACGCCGGAAGGCGGGCCACCACAAGGTCAGCTCCGAACTGTACGGGAGAGACGACACCATTGACAGCGTATGGGTGCAAGCCTCGGTGGCACGCAAGGTTTCCACAGGCTGGAGGCCCACACGCCCTATAGCCCGCGGGGGACAAGCCCCCACCATCGAGCCCAGCTTCCAGGTGCCGCCGGGCCCAGTGCCTAAATCCATGCCGATCAGCCACATGCTCCCCATCATTCCCCGATTCATGTACGCACGTGAGTTTGAGACCCAGGGCGACGTCGACGACGACGCCAACGAGCCGCCTTCGCCCTCGCCCTCAGGGTCTGGTGAGGAGCAAGCAGCCTCAGAAGATGCCTCCGCCGAGTCCACGCTGGATGGGGACTCATACTCCTCCACCGAGGACGACAGCCCACACAAAGCCCCGCAGGCACGCCACCCCAAAGCCCCCCTGGACCCCGCCACTGCCATCGTCGCCAATGGACACTGGGGGGCAGTCCATCTGGCCCATCCGATCTCAGACACTCACTGGCGCACTGCTTGTGGGATAGTCATGGGGGACGCCGGGGTCATCATGCCTGAGCCTGACCCATCTCGGATGTGCCGCCACAAAGCCTGCCGCCTTGCCCTGGACGCCTTCCAGAGCCTGCCTTCAGAGTAAAATAAGAACGGCCCGCAGTGCAAACATGTTAAGCCGAGCCTACTCTGCCCTCCCCGCAAACCCCCCTGCCTGCCTGCCCAGGTGCTCGCCTACACCGCAGCCGTTGAGATTCTCTCGAGAACGCCGTGAGCCCCCACTCCGTTTTTTCCGCGCCATGGACTGCCCGGATGCCTTCCGGGACCTGCTCAAGGAGTGTCGGGTACACGCCTCGCTGTGCAGTGCCATCTCAGATGGCGGCTACCAGTCCATGTCGGACTTCGCTTGGGCCTTCCCATGTGTTGAAGCCCTGAATCCCTTCATACACTCCCTGCCTGAAGCAATCACACAAGAACTCGGCCCCGGAGGCCTAGACTCCTCCGTGGAGATCGCCCGCCTACGATGTGCCCTGGACAACTGCCACAAGCAGGTCCAGCGTGCAGATGCCCAAGTGCCCTCGCCAAGCCCAGCCCAATTGCCCACGCCCACCATGCCTTCTCAGCCATCACAATGGATGGAGCACCTGCCACCACGCCTAACCCAGGACACAGTCCAGGACATGGTGGACAAATTCAAAGCCAATGACCCAGGCGAACTGCTAGATCAAGACAGTATGCCCAGGATCCGCCTACTCAGCCTTGTACACCACAGCCTAAATTAAGCCTGAGGAAAAGATCCGTTGGATCCCTTGGCAATTTCGCCTATCCGCCCGCCAATACCAGGAGCACATGGAAGCCAAGACTGCCAAGCCCCTACGCACAGAAGCCCAAATCATTGCCTCTGCCTTCTTTGATGAGACCCCAGAAGTGCCCGTAGAGCACATGCGCCTAGCGGCGGCCTGGTTAGACAGGATCCAAACTGTCTTCCGCAACGCCTGGGCTCTATGCGGCCGCGCACCTGCACAACCTTAAGGCCCTAGACAAAAAGGTTAAGGAGCTCTGCCTACACCAGCCAGATGCACAGCTAGGCCTAAGAACGCCCACGACCGCCGGGCTCATCTCTGCCGACAGAAAAATCTGGGCCTCACTGTCGGAACTGGTGGCCCAATCATGGAGCCCAGATGATGCCTTACATGAGATCACCTCCATCAGGAATGATCTCTCCAGCCTACTGCAACTACGCCCAAAGATGCAGCCCGACAAAGGCCAGCCCAAGGGCCTAGGCAAGAACGCCGACAGCCCCAACAAGCGCAAAACGCCCAACACGCCCCCCCCTCCTCCCAAAGCAGACAGAGGGGCAGAGAGACCGCCCAAGAAGGGGAAGGGGAAAGGGAAAATTACAAACCTCCCATCCAATTGGGTTGCAGTGCACAAGGGACAGCCCATTTGCCGCCGTTATCAAAACGGCCAATGCCAACTCAAGGAGTGCAAGTTCGCCCATGTGTGCGCAGTTCGAGGGTGTGCCCAAAAACACCCAGCCAACGAGCACGGCAAGCCCAGGACCTGAAACGGTCCGGGCCTCGCACCCCCAGTGGCGGGCCCGGACCGTCCCCGACAACTGGGACCACCACTACCCAACACGCCGGATCCGCAGCCCCCGCCCACGTCGGGAACCTAAGCCTCTCGGACTCCTAGCCCTCAGCCGCCTCGGGACGAGGACCGATTAACAACCAAGCCGGCAGCCAACATGCCCTCAATGCCACTCCGCCCACCGCCCACGCCTCGCACAGCCCTCACTGAGCCAGGTAGCCTACAAACGACAGAGGCCAGACCTCGCACAGCCTACTTCCCGAACATTACCTGGAAACGCCCTTCAGACCCCACACAGATTGCTGGGAGCGGACCTCACAATGATCCGCCCACACAGACACGTAAGTTACTGGACCTGTTCGCAGGACAGTCAGCGCCCATTTCAGCAGCCGCCAGCCTGCAATCCATACCGCGCTGGGAGCCCATCGACATTGCCATAAATGCCCAACACGACATCCTGCAGGATGCCTTCAATCATCGCCTGCTGCAACTTGCCTGGTCGGGGTCCATCGGCCTCCTTGTGGCCGCACCTCCGTGTCGTGACTTCTCCATTCTTCAGCT